CTCGACTGTTGCCAGTCGGTGGTTGAGAACACTGACATACGGGGGAAAACAACGACCATCGTGAATAAGTTAGTAGACGTGATATAGCACCACTCACTATTAACAAATTGCCGGAAGGTGATATGCGTTTACTTTCACTTCCAGGAGTTCTTAAAAATCCATCAGTTGCCTACGTCACAAGGGTCGGTGAAGCCTACACCTGACACTCATACCCTCATATGTGCTTCTGCTTTCTTGAGCTCTCTTATGTATATACACGAATTCCAAGGGCCTTTTCAACAACAATGGTAAATGCGATTTGGCTGAACGAACAAATCACTGTTATTGAGATCGCTATAACTGGAGTATTTATGATACCTTAAGATCGGCTTATAACAGTGGTCTTCATACACGGATAGTCGATAATCTAGTGATTCGAATTGTTGATTCGCTTTGGAACCACCTGCTACTGAGACATTATGACCCTGGTTTAGTCGTCATCCTATACTGTTTTTGATTTCCACTTTAAAAATGGTTAGGCTGTATATCTTTTGCTCTAGCACGGTAGTGCAGCCATATTGTCCACGTGATACCAGTTTGTACGCCGTTGGAGCTCCAACCTCTTTTAGTGCACAGCGTTGGTCGAACGGTATGAACTGTTCGCTGTTCTACTACCACAAAATTAGCACTTCTCCAACGAAAGTCCGAACAAGAAACAAATCGACACACTAAGAGTGGATAACGCTTTCAGAACAGCGCCCATGCAACACTGCAATTTCGCCACCTTTGTTACGCTGAACTCTTCAAATACGACATCGAAGAGGTTAGTATCGTAAGGTAACAGGAAATCTAGTCCACCTACTCTAGTAAAATGACTGGTTGTATCCAGCTGAAGTATCCTCCGGTGTCGTTTAGGAGAAAATCATCAACCAGTTTAGCACCGTGGCAACGAATACAACAAATATTAATATGCTTAGTTTAAAAGAGTGAACTCTTACCTAAAATGTAGGACGCGGCAACGAATGATCATAATAGATTCATTTTGGCAGGCATACAAAGCTAATCCAAATCACTAAATCTGGAATAACCCCAGAATCGAGCGAAGTCAGCACGTAAAGCTAGTCCTCAAAGAGCAATTAAAACGCCCACAGGATGCAGTGAAAAATGCAGCTAAAATCCGAAGTTAAATTATAGACACGTTAGCCAACTCCTCGAAGTACAGCGTGGCATCCCTTCTGTAAACAGCGCATTTGTGTGAATGCAAACTACGGATGTAGCATCCAACAACCTTAGAAAGCAATTTTGCTGGTTTTGTTCAAGAAACATACAGCCCTCTAATATCATGCTGCCACAGATCACGTCATCTCCAGGACAAGGGAAGATCTCCTTCAAAGCCGCGGATACGTTGAAGTGAATAGTGTCACTACGCGGATCCAGTACACGATCTATACAATTTCCAAGTCAAGTTAGTTAATAGAGGAAGCAAATTGGTTCGTAAGCATTTTCAACTTGGTTCGTAAGCATTTTCAACTTGGTTCATAAGCATTTTCAAGTTGGTGCGTTTCAAAGTTTGGCTAAGGTGCACACACGCACCGACGAGTAGCTTCCTCATTGGTCAGACACCGTCGGCCAACAGGATGCCGTGTGTCACTATAGAGCAGGTGTTCTCAAATTTTTCGGCACGTGCACCCCTTTGTAGTGTAACCTAGCACGACGGACCCCTGAGCTTTCCTTATCCACAGAACTAGGCTTTAATAACATAAGAATGAGGTGGAGTTCATCGCTGTACACTGAAGTTGCACAGTTGTTCATTTATGTTGGCAAAAGTGAAGGCTGTTGAACTTACATGCAAATGCAACTATATTAAGGCTTAATACCTTGGATAAAATTCGTTCCGACATGCAGCGCTGATTTGTTTGATACTAGGTGTTATTGAGGAAAGCTATAACCTCGGATCTCGTTACGCTTCAGGTCTGTTTCGGTACTTTGTTTTGTATAGATATAATGCGAGAATGCAATCTCACACAGCTAAGTTGTGGCAAATGGGAGAAGCACGGCGATAGCTGTCTACCATGACAAGGTACACATCGTTCGCTTTGCATCAGAAATCACACAGAAACAGTCTGTGAAAAGCTTTTTGAAAGGAAGAGTCTTAGGTCATCTCCATGCATTTTGTATGCATGGCCGGATACGTTTCTCGGTTCTGCTGTCAGCGCATTACGATAACTAACGATGTAAGATGCTTCCGTAGCTTTTTTACAGTCTGCGACGCGTGAAGCATGTACGTTTGGGTGTTCAATATTTCATCTCGCATGCGCTGTAAGTACTTTTTCTGTCTTTACAGTCCGTATGAATTTTTCAAAATGCCGCTGCATTTTAATAGGCATCATGTTCAGAAGAACTTTGTTACACAAGTCACCTTGTGGACAATTATTGGACTCTATAAATCCAAAACGAAGATAAATGTTGTTGTATTTCCGCCTCTTACCCACTGGTACAGAGGATCCGGTTGGCACAGACTTATATTGCATCACATCAGGTAGTACAGAAACATCGCACGTCTCAGTTGCTGCATGCTCAGAAGGCACATTGGATGGCCCAACTACTACTACATCTGAATTCGACGAAGAATATTCCTGTGAAACATTTAGCAGTATTCCATTCTTCATTTCATGGTCCCTGTTGATGTTACATGTCTAACTACCACAATGGAGATAAATAATTAAACACAAGAGTCCAAAACACACCAGGAATTTGGTTACTATGATAAGTTGGACTTTGAAAGAAGTATCGTAGTGAACGAAAGTGCCACCCTTTTGTAACGTCGCTGATGTAGTTTCCCTCGAGTTCGCAGAATCGGCTGAGCACATTCGTTAAACACAGAAATATCCACGCTTTCCTTCTGAGCTTCCATGGACGCGATCCCGCAAACGGGCCTCTCCTTCCGGTTTGCTTATTTTTCGGAGGATAGTAACACTTGAAATGACCGCAAACTTGAGCCCTATCATATGGCATACTTCTCGCTGCCCCTCGAGGGACATAGACTGGGTTATGTGAGCTTGAGCGGACGTAGAACGACCCATCCAGCCACTGCCCATGACATCACGGTGAAATTAACACACGATGTTTCTGAACTTGGAAAACCTCGTTCGCTCACATTTTAACTCCCAGCCAAAACAAGCTTCCTCCTTGGAAGAGGTATGTTTCCATGGGCAATGCACAAGGCTATAATGTAAACCGTTAGATTTGATTTAAAAATTTTCACAGCATGTTTGTCATAAATTTGTGAAATAGACTGATCGCGTCCATAAAATTTCCTAATAGAATTGTAACACTTTGGGAGATCACGCGGATTCCCTGAAAGTAGCCCACGTACCCCCTGGGCATCCGCGGACCACCCTTTGAGAAACAGTACTATAGAGATTCTTATACTCATAAATTATGCCCATTCAGACATGAAGAGAACAATTGCGAAGAAATTTTTTTCGATAAATATCGTCAGGCGCTACAATTATGAAGCAGATAACTAAAACTTGCAAAAAGCTATTGCTAGCTATGTACAAGGACAAGGACGTCAGATGATAGGGGAAACAGTTAAACTGGGAACTTATTATGTACAGCAATCAATAACAGATTCAAACGAGTCACGATGGACCGGTGACCTTGAGGCCTGCTAACTGCGTGAGGACCAGTTCAGAATTAGCGCTTGCACGAGAGCTCGCTGCTTGCATAATTCCGGCTGAAGGCGTCCGATAGCAAGAGCTTCAGCTATAGTCAGGAAGCGCCTTTTGAGTCCCTTTGAGCATCGCTATGGGGCAACTAGGAGAACCGTAAATGAGTATTTAACACGACATTGATGTCCAGTGTTGATCAGGTGCTCACAGGTGCGATGACCGCAGCGCAATAACTCTTCTGACTGAAGAACAGTGTGATTGCCTAACTGTGAAAATGCACACTGATAACTGCACACGGTCAATAATATGACAGTCTTAGTGCATGTGCCACGATTGAACTGGTTGCATTTCGAGTTAGAGGGACACTTACAGGGAATAATATAATAGCACGGGCAATGAAAAGAGTGCTTGGCAAGTCTCGTATTTTGTTAGGGTGCAAGCCACAAGCACTAGTGCACAAATACAACGGTGATCCGTTTATGTACTATGAGAGGGAAGTATTATTGCAATACGCAGCTGGGAAGTGGGATCCACGGAAATGGTACAGGTAACCATCTTGCGATATTTAACCTATCATCGTGACATATGAGCTCAACTTGTCAACCTGGTAAGTATATGGCGTGAGAACGAAATTTCTCGATGCACTAAATCTGCTCGCGGCCCTCCGTGAAGAATCGTACGGTTCGGGAAGTTCATGCTTTGCTGATTGCTGTCTCTCCTCTAACAGGCACATGTGTTATACAATGGAACCCGCTTTATTGCCCACCTCGTTCATAGCCCACCCCGCTTTATTGACCAGTTTTTCAAAATACCAATTCATTTCTCATAAATATGCTACATTTTCACCGTCTAATTGCCCACTGTCTGGGTCGTCGCACCGCTTAATTGCCCAGCGGCATGGGCTGTGCTCTTGACGCTTTGTCGATTTTACGCCCTCGCTCCGACTATCTTTTATTACGATTACCCCACAGCTAGGTAGTCCGAACGATTCAAGAACAACAAAGCCATCGGCGGCGTTTTTGACAGATCAGAGAAGGCTACCTACGTCATTCAATACACGAGCAAGCTAAATGAACAAACGGATGTGGGCAATCCCCCAGCCTTAATAAAACTCGAGAACTGAGCAAAGTGGAGTAATTTGCCCGCTCCACACGTGTCCCTGCTCTATTGGTTGCACACAAGTATGGTCAGTAACAGAAAGCATTTGTCCTTGACAAAAATGTTGGACGCGCTGTCATGGTTCATACGGACAATGTGTTTACAGTCGGACGCCCTGTGACACAAACAAGCAATAGTAATACTCCAAAAACTCTGCGTCGACAGCTATGCATGAAACCGGTGGGCAAAACTATCCGGGAATCAGATAAAAACATAAAAAAGGGAAAATATATAATGATGATTGAAAGCTGGGCTGAAGGGAATCGCCTACCCTTGCGGTCGATCAGGCAATCGATCGAGCGGACGAATGCGTTTTCAAACACTCGGCTAATTGGACTTTTGCCTCAGAGTTGAGAGGACAGTGTTTTTCGGCGGCATTTATCTGGCTACGTTGGCAGAGTTTTTGTTAACACGTTTTTCGTGGTCAAGGCTGTTGGAATTTTGATTTTTCTTCGGCTGGGCTAGAATTGCTGCGGAGAAATTTCTGGGTGGTTAATTCGGAATAGCGAAAAAAGTGAAGATCTAACAATGGCGACGGACAAGCACGGAAATGTTACAAATTTTTCTGCCGAACATTTTCAAAAGCTGCTTCTTCAGCAACAATCCCAGATGGAAGCACAAATGAAACTGATTGAAAGTTTAACGCAGTGCTTAAACGTACAATCAAACGGAGCAGCTACACGGGACACGCAGGCTGTTTCACTTGATCTTCTTACGAATTCAATCACTGAATTTCATTATGATGCTGATTCCGAATCCACTTTCGAGGCGTGGTTCAAACGTTGGGAGGATATGTTCCAGACGGATTTCAGCCGTCAAGATGATTCATGGAAAGTGCGCCTTTTGCTCCGCAAGCTCGGAACTAATGAACATACAAGATTCCTTGACCACATATTGCCCAAAGAGCCGAAGGACATCACTTTCAACGAAGCAGTGGCAACACTCAAAGAAATTTTTGGTGAGTCGACATCATTGTTTAGCATTCGCTATCAATGTCTAAAAATTGTAAAGCGTGATACAGACGATTATGGGGCACTAGCAGACATGGTTAACCGTGAATGTGAACGTTTCAAGTTACGCTGTTTGACGGATGACCAGTTTAAGTGTCTTATATTTGTCAGTGCTTTACAGTCTCCACGCGACGCGGAAATCCGCACTCGGCTCCTTGCTAATTTGGATCAAGATCCAGATTTGACATTGAAGTCTCTTGTAGGCGAATGCAAACGGTTAATTACCTTGAAACACGACACGGCTATGATTGAGCAGAGTCGCCCCACCATTGCCGATACTGTTCATGCTGTGCAAAAAGCAAGAAAGCCTGGCTCGAATAAGTCGTTCAACAGAAAGCCGAACAAGCCGCCTACACCTTGTTGGTCATGTGGTGAATGGCATTTCGCACGATACTGTCCATTCAAGCGTCATATTTGTGATAAGTGCCATAAACGCGGCCACAAGGAAGACTTTTGCCATCAGTCCCGGCCAAGAAATGTGAAGCAGTCCTACCGAAGGAAGAATTTCAGAAAACCTGACGCAGAATCACTATCGGTGATTGCTACGTTTCACAGCGATTCTAAAACACGCCGCCGATTTATCACTGTGCTTATCAACGGAATCCCAACCCGGCTGCAGTTCGATACGGCATCAGATATAACGATCATTTCCAAGAACACTTGGAAGCACATAAAGAAGCCGAAAATGATTGATTCCAACAAAATCGCTCACAATGCATCCGGTGGAGTGCTGAAGTTGGTCGGAGAAATAAATTGCAAAATTGCATTCAACGGAGTGGAAAAGGCCGGAACCTGCTACTTGTCTGATCGACCAAACTTGAACCTCCTTGGACTTGACTGGATGGAAAAATTACAACTGTTTGATGCTCCAATGAGTCAGATTTGCAATACAGTACAAACCGACCCAGTACATTCATCATTGTCGATAGAAGAGATGACCAGAAAGCTAAAGCAGCAGTTTGTCACCTTGTTTGAAGATGGTCTCGGCCACTGCACTAAGTTCAAAGCAAAGTTGTGTCTTCGTGAAGGAACCAAGCCAGTCTTTAGAGCAAAAAGACCGGTACCGTATGCAGCCATGACAGCAGTTGATCAGGAGCTCGACCGACTGGAACGAGCCGGTGTCATCACACCAGTGAACTACTCTTCATGGGCTGCGCCGATTGTTGCTGTGAAAAAGCCGAACGGTAAAGTGCGAGTCTGCGCCGATTTTTCGACTGGCCTGAATGCCGCATTGGACGACCATCAATACCCCCTTCCGATACCAGAAGATATCTTTGCCAAGCTGAATGGTGGGAAGTGTTTCGCCAAGCTCGACTTGTCCGATGCCTACCTCCAGGTTGAGGTTGATGAAAGCTCAAGAGAATTGCTGACCATCAACACTCATCGTGGCTTGTACCAATACAACCGCCTCCCTTTTGGCGTGAAAACAGCACCAGCCATCTTCCAGCAGCTGATGGACACCATGCTCGCGGGAGTTTCTGGAGCCGCGGCGTACCTGGATGATATCATTTTAATGGGTCGGACGGCAGAAGAACTATTTCAGCGGCTCGCTGAAGTGCTTGTACGTATCCAGTCATATGGTTTCCGTATCCGCGAAGATAAGTGTACCTTTTTTACACCAACCATCAAGTTTCTCGGTTTCATCTTCTCAAAAGACGGTCGTCGCCCTGATCCAGAAAATATCCGAGCTATTCAAAAGATGCCCCCACCTGTGGACTTGCAGTCGCTGCGTTCATTCTGTGGCCTAATCAGTCATTACAGCGCTTTTCTGCCCGAACTACATCGCCTGCGTGCCCCGTTGAATAAGTTGCTGAGCAAGGGCCAAACCTGGAATTGGACACCAGAATGCCAGACTGTGTTTGAGCGGGTCAAGTCATTGTTGGCTTCAGACTTACTCCTAACTCATTTTGATCCTTCCCGGGAAATTGTCCTTGCCACAGACGCATCGAGTCTAGGGATCGGTGCCGTAGTTTCCCATACGTTCCCAGATGGATCTCAGAAGGCGATCGCACATGCCGCCAGGACGCTAACGAAAGCTGAAAGAAACTACAGTCAGATCGAGAAGGAGGCATTGGCCATAGTGTTTGCTGTGAAGAAATTTCACAAGATGCTGTATGGTCGCCGCTTCAAACTCTTGACGGATCACAAGCCGCTGCTGGCCATTTTCGGCTCGAAGAAGGGAATTCCTGCCTATACAGCCAATCGACTCCAACGATGGGCACTTACATTGCTGGGCTATGATTTTGAAATCCGTTATCAGTCAACGAATTCGCTGGGCCAAGCAGATGCGTTGTCACGCCTCATTGATTCCCAGCAACAAGAACACGAGGACACCATCATTGCCTCAGTTGAGATCGAACCTGATGTCAAATTCCTGGTGAACGAGACACTACATGGTATGCCAGTTACGGCCGATGCTGTGCGGGCCGAAACGCTTCGAGACCCAATCCTGAAGAAGGTGACACACTTCCACAGAACCAGCTGGTCACGTTCGTGTTCATCTGCCGAAATGCAGCAGTTCTATCAGCGAAGACATTCGCTTTCCATTGTGGACGATTGCATCATGTTCTCAGACAGAGTAGTCATCCCGCAGGCGTTGCAACAAAGAGTGCTGCGACAGTTCCATGCAGGACATCCAGGGCTCAACCGAATGAAAGCGCTTGCCAGAAGTTATGTGTATTGGCCGTTTATGGACAGGCAGCTGGAGCAGCTAGCTAAAAGTTGTGGCAACTGCGCTACCGCCTCAAGGGCACCGCCAAAGACTGAACTCCGCTCATGGCCTAAACCAACTAAACCTTGGAGTCGTGTTCATGTAGACTTTGCAGGCCCAATCAATGGCCAGAACTTTCTCATAGTGGTCGACGCTTATAGCAAGTGGCCTGAAGTGTTCCTCATGAGAAGCACGAAAACCAGCGCAACCGTCTCTAGGTTGCGACAAATTTTCAGCAGGTTCGGCTGCCCTGAAACATTGGTGACGGACAATGGAGTACAGTTTACTTCGGCCACATTCATGGAATTCTGCCAACGTTGCGCCATAAAACACGTGCGGTCTCCACCGTTCCACCCACAATCGAGTGGCCAAGCAGAGAGGTTTGTGGATACATTCAAACGCGCTCTCCTCAAATCAAGGAGGGAGGGAGACATTGAGGAGGTGATCGACCGCTTCCTATTTCTGTACCGATCTACACAAAATCCACAAACGCCGGGTGGAATATCACCAGCAGAGGCAATGTTGAAGAGAAAACTTCGCATGCCATATGATGCAGTTCGGCCATCCTCAGAGTCCATAGCTGGTGAAAGGAACTTAAAGATGGAACGTGATTTTAATCGGCGGGATGGTGCCAAGCAACGTTCGTTTAGATCGGGTCAGCCAGTACATGTGCGTGATTATCTGGGTGGACACGCAAAATGGACGCCAGGAACGATCCCGTGCAATCGCGGAAGCGTCATTTACGACGTGCTGGTTGGAACGCAGGTATGGGTACGCCAGGCAAACCAACTGCGAACAACAATGTGTCAGCCACAATCAACAGATTCCGCCAAGCTTCCATTTGACCTGTTGACAGACAGCTTCAACTTGCCTACAGAGCCAGTAGAAGAACCCTGTCATCAGACGAATAGTACCAGACCGCAGAGTACGGAATTCGAATCCCCAACACTACAGCCAAGGCGATGCACCGGTAGGCGAAGAATCCCTTCCAGGAGGCTCCAGGTTAATCCCCGGCTAGCATTCCTACACAACGGCAGCAGCTTCAGAAGGGGAGGTATCCGGGAATCAGATAAAAACATAAAGAAGGGAAAATATATAATGAAGAATGAAAGCTGGGCTGAAGGGAA